CTAAAACAGGACTAAACCAGGACTAAACCAGGGCTAAAACAGGACTAAACCAGGACTAAACCAGGGACTAAAACCAGGACTAAACCAGGACTAAACCAGGACTAAACCAGGACTAAACCAGGACTAAACCAGGACTAAACCAGGGCTAAAACCAGGACTAAACCAGGACTAAACCAGGACTAAACCAGGGCTAAAACAGGACTAAACCAGGACTAAACCAGGACTAAACCAGGGCTAAACCAGGACTAAACCAGGACTAAACCAGGACTAAAACAGGACTAAAACAGGACTAAACCAGGACTAAACCAGGACTAAACAGGGCTAAAACAGGACTAAAACAGGACTAAAACAGGACTAAACCAGGGCTAAACCAGGACTAAACCAGGGCTAAAACAGGACTAAAACAGGACTAAAACAGGACTAAACCAGGACTAAACCAGGACTAAACCAGGGCTAAAACAGGACTAAAACAGGACTAAACCAGGGCTAAACCAGGACTCAAACAGGACTAAACCAGGACTAAACCAGGACTAAACCAGGGCTAAAACAGGACTAAAACAGGACTAAAACAGGACTAAACCAGGGACTAAACCAGGGACTAAACCAGGGCTAAACCAGGACTAAACCAGGACTAAACCAGGACTAAACCAGGACTAAACCAGGACTAAACCATGCTGCACGGATGTGTCTCCTCTTCTATCAATAATATTTTGAATACGGTTAAGTAAAGACTGGGCTTTTTTATTTTCTTTTAGTAGACAAAACATCTTATGTTACGATATCCTGGTCTTTCAAGTCAATAATCAAGTAATCCAAAGTATTCAGATTACGTTACTCACTTTAAGTAATTGAATAGATTCTGTTACAAACTACATTTTGGTGTATGTAATCTGTAATCTGTAGGGGAATACATTTTAAAAGTAAACTTCCCAACACTGTCAGCATGCAAAAACCCCACAGATACACAACTGGACAGGAAGTAGTGAAGTGAACTATTGTTGAAATAGAAGAGCACTGAAGCAAAGGTGACAAGATATTTAAGACTCAAAACTGGGACACACCCGGTTTGGGATGGTTGGCATAAATAAAACTTTGAAAAGACATCGTCCATTCTCAACTCGAGTCTGGGTCATAATCTGATGGATTTTATCGGTAAAATAGTAAAAATGAATGACAATATATCCCCTCTTTACTGTTGGTGGGGATCAGTTTGGTCAAAATAGAGACACTTGGGACATTTCTTGTAAAAAAAACTGGGACAAATCAGCGGTTTTGTATAAATCTGCTGGGACAGGGGACTCAAAAGTGGGACTGTCCCGGGTAAATACGCACGTCCGGTCACTTTACCTTGAAGCTTGAGACGTGTCTGCGGATTTACGCATCGTGATTAAAAGCACGACTTGTTATAAGGGCTTGGTAGGTGCTGGCGCTCCTTTTACGCATTATGGCTCATCTATTTTTATGATTAATTATGTTTGTTCTGTGGCGTGACTGATTGCGCTGCTGTAATCCATGGCGTGCTCCCTCGGCTCCTCTCTCTCTGCACCCGCCTCGCCCTCCCCACACCTCCTTATGTGTGTGTGTGTGTGTGTGTGTGTGTGAGAGAGCGGACAGTGTGTGTTGTTTTTATTGTTGTCTATAATTGCATTGTATCGTTTCTGTAAATCAGGGACTGCAGATGGACACTAGATATTTAACTCTAATCTGTTCCGTAACATCTCTGTTTATTTTTTATGAGCTTAATGTTTCTGTACATTGTCCCTTCAAATAAACATTAAAACTAATGTCACTGGATTACAGTTACTTTGTTTAAATAAATCGATTACACAGCGGTATTTTCCTGTTTTCACATTTTAGGCTATATTCCACTCATTGCCAGAAACTAAACCAGGTCTAAACTAGATCTAAACTAGATCTAAACCAGGACTAAAACCAGGACTAAACCAAGACTAAAACCGGGTCTAAACTAGATCTAAACCAGGACTAAAACCAGGACTAAACCAAGACTAAAACCGGGTCTAAACTAGATCTAAACTAGATCTAAACCAGGACTAAAACCAGGACTAAACCAAGACTAAAACCGGGTCTAAACTAGATCTAAACCAGGACTAAAACCAGGACTAAACCAAGACTAAAACCGGGTCTAAACTGGATCTAAACTAGATCTAAACCAGGACTAAAACCAGGACTAAACCAAGACTAAAACCAGGTCTAAACTAGATCTAAACCAGGACTAAAACCAGGACTAAACCAAGACTAAAACCGGGTCTAAACTAGATCTAAACCAGGACTAAAACCAGGACTAAACCAAGACTAAAACTGGGTCTAAACTTGATCTAAACTAGATCTAAACATTCACATTTTAGGCTATATTCCACTCATTGCCAGAAACTAAACCAGGTCTGAACTAGATCTTAACCAGGTCTAAACCAGGACTAAAACAGGATTTAACAGGACTTAACCAGGTCTAAACCAGGTCTAAATCATGCTGCGTGGACCGTGTCTCCTCGTCTTCTATCAATAATATTTTTAATACGGTTCAGTAAAGTCTGGGCTTTTTTATTTTCTTTTATCAGACAAAACACCTTATGTTACGATTTCCTCATCTTTGTTTCTCTACAGCAAATCAAGTAATCCAAAGTATTCAGATTACGTTACTCACTTTAAGTAATTTAATGGATTACATTACAAACTACATTTTGGTGTATGTAATCTGTAATGTGTAGGGGAAAACATTTTAAAAGTCACCTTCCCAACACTGGGCATGGCTCTGATTTCTGAAGTTGGCATCTTGTGTTTAACCCACAGACTGTATAAAAAAGTGGACTAAGGCTAAAGAATCACTGTGTTATCATACTGGAAACGATCTGCGCCCAGACACGTCGTTTCTGCGTCCGCAAGTCTTTCCTGTCCACACAGCTTTGAGCATATTTGTTTACGTTTTACATAAATGAAATTTAAAACCACATGGATAATTTGCATGAACTGAGCACTCAAAAAAACAGGTTCAGCTTCTGTCGGACTAAAGGACACGACTCAGTGGAATATGAGTGTTGTTTCTGTGACAGAGGGGTGTTCTGCTGATGGTGAGTCTGTTCTGTGTTTCTGTCGCGTTGGAGATGGTTCATGTTAAACTTTTCAGAGATTATACGTCTGCAGGTCGTACACACAGACCGTTTTTATGAATGAACATATATTCTAGCCTCTTAACGTTTTGGAGGTGAATTACTTCGCGGCGCACAGACCTACATCAGAGTATCAGCGTTTTCAGGCGTCCACACAGTGTCGGATCTGATCTCAGATGAATTCGTGGGAGCTGGCGACACCAGATCGTTCCGTCTCTGGAGCCGTTTTCAATTAGATTAGTGTGGATGAACACTGCATCCGCAACGAAAACGACTCGAATACGTGCTAGTGTGGACGGGGCCTGAGTGAGTGTGACATCACCGACAGCATCACTCAAATGAAGCTTGCGATGCTCATGGTTACAGGGGTGAATTTGGAGCCAGGCTTTGTGTTATGAATAAGATTTTTTTGATGAACAAAATAATGAAAAAAAACAACAACTAAACACTAGGATCATGCAGAGCGAGTTAATACAAACATTTTAAGCCCAAAATGCCGAGGCTCACTGCAGCAGTTACAGAGAGAAGAGCCACAATATTCCAATTTAAGTCAATGAGAGCCAGGGTCAAAAGGAGCCGCATGTGAGCTTCCTATTTGGTAAACTATATCCATCTATATATACAGGACAGCCAGTTTCATATGGTTTAACCTGATGAAACTGGCTGTCCTGATTTCCTCTTTTCTTTTGATCAGTTCAGGTTATGGTCAGTTTCTTGTGGATCAGTAAAGTTTGTCTCATGAATTAAAGGTCCTACATTACACAAAATTGACTCTTGTGAGCTTTAAGCCATGTTAGAATGTCGTTACCTCCTCGAAAACAGACCTGCAGTTGTGTTTTGATTGAGTGACGCTTTATTATTAGTGTTATGTTTACTGTATCTAACTGTTTTATGTTTATTGAATGCTAAGTTACATCATCTAGTGGTCGCTTTAGTTTATTCCTGTGATAATAATAGTAGAAGAAGAATGTTAGACAGGAAGTTGTTGTTCAGGCCTCTCTCCTCCAAAATGGCCGCCCTTTGGTTCTGTTGAGTCTTTTTGGTGTTTGTTCAAGCATCGTCTGTGAGTATTACATGGTGAAACATGATTGTACACCTTTAATATTGCCTTTTGTGTTAGAAATGTAAAAGTTAGCACGTTTTTGGTACACCATTATTATGCAAATTAGTCCGCGATTCATATGCTAATTTCGCTATGCTAACCGTTATGCTAACTGCCTAAATTCATTGACTGTTACTTTAATTGTTGGTGCTTTTTGTAATTTGTAATTTATTTGGCACATATATTAATGGCTATTTTTGTATGTGTTTGCTGTTGTAGTTTCACGGGACAAAGAACCAGTAAATTTCACCAAAGCCAGCCGCTCTCTGTGAAGTTCTTCTGGGTCTACGTTTAACTGTTTGGATAGCTAGTGCAGCATCTAGCAAGGCCATTTACAATTAGTGTGTCTACATCTCCAAAGCTCGAAATGCTCTGTTCCACCTTGCGATGTCACGTAGTTAACAGGTATTATTTTTTACCTTTAGTTCAGTCAAGATTGGCAATTTCAGGGCTGAAATTATCCAAATGATTCTAGTGAAGGTGTGTGAAGTTTAAAAACACAGTGGAGCACTTCCTGTACATGACATAACAAGGTGGAACAGAGTATTTTCAGTTTGAGATCAGAAGTCAGCCAAAACATGCAGGGTTTTGTGTGTAAAAAATGTGTGAATGAAAAAAAAAAAAACAACTCCAAGTCTGTTTGTGATGAGGAAACTGCATTTTATCACAGATTGAAAAATAGCATAATATTGGACCTTTAATAAAAAAACAAAGCATAAATAAATGACTAAAATCAAGTATCGCAAAGAGTAAACAGAAAAAAAGTTACTTACGGAAAAAGTCCTTCTTGGCCAGGTTCTTGGCGCAGAGAACTGGAAAAGAGAAGAAGATGCCCTTGATTAATCAGCTGTCAGTTATTTTGCTTACTTTTTAATCATGTAAAAAGATAAAATGCACAGCGTAAGCAGCCATCATTTATACATGACACCAACAAATGCATATGAAAAACTCTGTCCAAGTCATAACGCTTATAGACCTTTTTCACAACGGCCGCAAGAGTCGCACTGTAGGTTTGTGAAACTTCCGGTTGATGCTTTTCTGTGGCAAAATATCAGTGGAAATGTATTACGTAAAAAATTATCTAATGCACTTTTAACCATAGGCATGCTGCTTGACGTTTTTGGGTTTTTTTTGTTGCTATACTTCACTTGCTCCAACAGAGGGCACAAGACGGACTAAAAGTAACAGACCTTTTTCACAACGGCCGGAAGATTCACACTGTAGGTTTGAGGAACTTCCGGTTTCTGGTTTTCTGTGGCAAAATGTCTCTGGAAATGTCTCATGTTTTTCTCCACCGGCTTCATAAATCTACATCTGCGATCAACACCAAATCTTCAACCAACAAGGTCCACAAAGGATAAACATTCTAACATGAAGAATTTATCCACAACTATCAAGGTAAGAAAGATGAAAACTTAAAGGCGAACAGCTCCGACGGATTAATGAACAACTGAACAAAACTAATGTTCTAGTATTCTAGAGATGTCTCGCATTCAAACTGCACAAATCTATCTACCGTATTTTACAGTCGCTTTAGTCGCTCTGGGTTATAAGGCGCACTGTCATTAAATGGTCTATTTTCGAACTTTTTTCACAAATAAACCGCGTGGGACTTTAAAGGAAACACAACAGTGTGATGGGTGAGTGGTTTTGTTTGTTCGTTCACGGTGACTCTGGGCTTTGTTCAGTTGTGGCGTGTAGGGAGGTGCTGTCTGGGACCAACGGATTGTCGGCGTGTTCGCAGTGACTCAGTTGTTCAGTCGTGTCTAGAAGCGGCACATTGCGCTCGCTTTTTCGGTTCGTTCCTCCGTTCCGTTTCTCGTCGGCGTGGAGTGATGAGTGTGTCTGTCGTTGTGCGGTCGCTGTCTGCTCCGTGTGTGTTTGTGTGTTCTGCAGGTGGTGCGGATTTGTAGTTTACTGAAGTCGTGCTGGGACACCTGAGTGGATTCGTGTATAGGGCGCTCTGGATTGTGGGGCACGCAGTCGTTTTTTGATGCGGTTAGTGGCTTAAGAGCGCGTCTAATATGTTTTATTCATGACCATAACTTTAGTTTTGCTCAGTAGTTCACTAATGCGTCGTCGTTGTTCTCCTTAAAGTTTTCGTCTTTCTTCCCTTGATAGTTGTGGATAACTTCTTCATGTTTCATCCTTTGTGGACCTTGTTGGTTGAAGATTTGGTGATGGGGCAGATTTATGAAGCTGATGGAGGAAACACCAGACATTTACACACACATTTTGCTGGAAGTTCTGCAAACCTACAGCCGCCGTTGTGAAAAAGGTTTATAACACATTCGCATTTTCTCAGTTAGTTTAACACTTTAGTCTGTTTGACACCCTCTGCTGGAGCGAGTGAAGTATTTAGAAAAAAATGAAAACAACTTAGCAGCACGGCCATTGTATCCCCAGGTTTGACTACCCCAAATTTAAGACTTTTTCGAGACCACTTAAATGAAAATTAAGACCAATATCGCACCCATTATGCGGGCGAAAAACACCAGATCCAGTTCGATTAATGACCAACCAACTACTGCATCTAGACTCTAAGAGTCGCTGTGGATTAAACCTGCACTTCCCCATGATCATTCAACTTCTTCCTCCGCTCTACTGATTGTTTACTCATTGCCGCCGGTGCCAGAAACCAAAGTATTGTTTGCTCATACTCCAAATTCGACATTCATTCACGTGATTTCACATTGTTGTTGTTTTTTTCTTCTTCCATTTAACATCGCAGCCCAGTTGAGTTTACAAAAAAATAGGCTAATGAAATTTAAGACCTTTGTGAAAAAAATAAGACTTGGACAACATAATTTAAGACTTTTTAAGGCCTTAATTTAGGGACATGAAATTTAAGACCTTTTTAAGACTTTTAAGACCCCAGTTTTCGGTTGTGGGTCTGTCACCTTCTTGTTTCTTCGGATACGTCATTGCTCTGCCTGGAATGTTCCACAGTGTGACATTAACCAGCTCTACTTTACATTTATTCAATTACAAGTGACTTTACAGCTCAAAAATATCTAGAAAAACCACATTCTGACTGTGAACGGGGTCGCCTCTCCACCGATCTGACCTGTAACTTGGTCCGGTTTGCTCACGATGACGACAAAAAGGTTTAAATCCACACTCTGAAACATTTCTGACAAAGCAACGACATCTCCTCTGCCAGAAAAGTTACACAATGCAGCTTTAACTTGTTAATATCAACGCACAAACACAGTAGCGGCACTTCCTGTCCAAACGGAACCTCGCCAAATGAGATTACTCGCTCGATTTAGCGCAGTATCCCGTTCTCGTAAGTTAACCGCGTTTAAGGATTTCGGATAATTAAAGGAGAAGATGGGAAAAACGTTTCTAAATTTCAGTAATCCTCGGCTTCCCCTTTAACTCGTGCCATATTGGCGGCGGCAGCAGTGGCGTGGGCGGAGTGGTGTGTGTGTGCGTGTGCGTGGAAAGATGACAAGTCCTTCCCTTCACCTGGACACCTGAAAGTTCTCAAAGTTCACGGAGTTCTCGTGACTCACGGGGCCGAGTACAGTCATCGCTCAGAAAACTTCAAGATTTCGACATGGAAGAGGAGAGGATTTGAAGAGCCCTATCAGCGTTCAGATGAGCTCAAGTCGTTTACCGAACACTTTCGCAGAACTTGTTAGGCGCAAAGCCGTTTAACAGACATTAGTGTAGCGCCATTAGGCAAGGCGAGTTTATTCGTGCAGCGCAGTTCGTACACAAAGTAATTCAAAGTGCTTTACGGAATAAGAAATGCATTAAAATCACAATACAAACAGATCATAACATAAATCATAAAATTAAAAAGAGACGAGACATTAAATGAGAGAGAAGAGTGCGGAATGAAAACCTTTCAGTCACATGAGCAGCTAAATAAAACAGTTTTGAGTTTGGGATTTAAACAAAGTCAAAGTAGAGGCCTGTCTCACATCTTCAGACAGTTCCAGGTTCTAAAGCTAAAATTAAAGCTGCTCTGCTTCATGAAGTTTCTCTCTCTGCAGGTGAAACACAAGACTAACGTATTTTTTGGACTATAAAGCGCACTTAAAAACCTTTAATATTCTCAAAAATCCACAGTGTGCCTTATAATCCAGTGTGTCTTATGTAGGGGTGTCAAATTATCACGTTAATTGCGATTAATTAATGAATTACAGTCATTTTTAGCGCGTTATGTTTTTTAATCACGTTAATCTCATATTTAATCTCTAACTTTACTGTTTCTGTATGCGAGTTGCCTTATTATAAAATCTGTTTTTATGTGTTTTTGGGACAGCAACACATCGCTCCCGCAAAGAATTGTAATTTTCATTCCCGTTCTCGCCGCATCTGCGATAAACCTGCACATGTCTGAGCTCTGAAAACATCGCGACACAGACACAGAACAGACTCAACTTCAGCATCAACATCCCTCTGTCACAGAAAGAACATTTATATTCCACTGAGTCGTGTCCAACAGAAGTTGAACCGCATCAGTGCACAAGAGCATTTTTTTTCTTTTCTCTGCTTAGTTTATGCAAATTAGCCATGTAGTTTTAAGTTTAGTTTCTGTGAGACTTGCACAAATCTGCATTAAACACATTCTAATGTCAAACGGGCTGATGTGGCTCTAGAGTGTTTACGGTTTATATGTTGTAAAGTTGAATTTATTTATGCAGATTAGTAATTGTAATAATAATGATGTGCAATGTAAATGACCGCATCTGTTAAAATTTGTTAAACAATAAATTACTTTATAAAATTTAAAATCTGTTAAAATTTGTTAAACAATAAATTACTTTATAAAGTCACTTTTTTGTTATATCTCAGTCTTTTGATCTGCCACAATAGTATAATAATGAATTTAAACGAAACTATGGCAAGTTGAAGGCTTTTCTCAGCAATTTTTAGGTGAGATTAAAAAAGAGATTAATTAGATTAATTAATTACAGATCATAATAATTAATCCCTCGACAGCACTAGTTTTATGTATTAATTCTGGTTATGCTCACTGACCTCGAACTGATTTTATGTGGTGCACGGCGTTCAAAAGTCTGTCAAAATGTTTTAATACGACTTTGGTAAACTATGAAGCCGCACTGCTTGATGGATTGTCGGAGCATTAAGACTACCGGAGTCAGGAGCCTCACAGAGTCCGACAGAAGCTCTCTCTGCAGGTGAAACACAAGACTAACATATTTTTTGGACTATAAGGCGCACTTAAAATCCTTTAATTTTCTCAAAAATCGACAGTGCGCCTTATGTATTAATTCTGGTTGTGCTTACTGACTTCGAACCAATTTTATGTGGTACACGGTGCACAGAAATGTGTCAAAATGTTTTAGTACGACTTTGGTAAACTACAAAGCTGCACCGCTTGATGGATTGTCAGCGCATTACGGCTAAAGTAGTCAGGAGCCTCGCGGAGTCTAACAGAAGATGAACCGCATCAGCGCACAAGGAGCGAGCTGTTTTTTTCAGCGCTTATAGTTTATGCAAATGAGCCATGTGGTTTTAAGTTTCGTTTCTGTAAAATGTAAACAAATGTGCGCAAAGCTGAATTAAACGCATTATTACTCAATGTAGATTTGAGTCGTCCTCATAGGAAATAAAAAAAAAAAAAAAACTTAAATGATCTACCCACATTCACATTCATAATCCACATTCATCCACAATGCTGGGTGCATTACGCCATGATCTGCCAACGGATCGTGGACGCCTGGACTAAAGGATCAGTCTCAAGTGTCGTCCGTTTGTTTCGCTTAATGCGCCTTATACTCCTGTGCACCTCATTTATGAAAATAGATGAGAGAATTCAACATTATCGATATTG